AATGCTTTGTCTCATCTCAATTCTACTAGATGTATCCAAATCAAAATGTGCATGCTTCTATAATCCTGAGTTCAAATAGAAGTACGGAATCAAGAACAGAATTCATAGCTTCAAAGCTGGGACCACCACAATCCCTTGAGTTTTGATCCTATCAGTTAAAATTAAAGTTAGGTGGAACTCTTGTGGTGCAGTGGTAATGTCCCCACATCTGAGCCAGGAAACACAAGTTCAAGTCCCACCTGCTCCAGAGGTGTGTAATAACATATCTGAGCAGGTTGATTAGAAAATAAGCAATTAATGGTGGGATTCTTCCGCTGGAGTGGTACTATCCCTACCTCTGGGCCAGGAGGCCTGTATTCAAGTACATCTTGCTCCAGAGATGTGAAATAATGTCACTGAACTGGTTGATGTAAAAATATTTACAATCAATGGTGCTTTACAGTTCTAAACAAAGTTTCAAGGCTCATTGTTAATGTGGAGTAGGATGGCATATCTCTGGCCTCTCAACATGGCTGGCTGTTTGGAAAGAAAGACAGCAAAATGACAATCAAATGAGATTTGTCTTGAAATTCAGCAGGACCTTCCAATTACCCATATAATGTTCTCAGCTGCCCAACTTCCAGCCAAACTCTAAATTTCAATTTTAAAACACCCAGTTTTACTTTGACTTATAGGGAAGACAAGTCCCTCCCAGCAAACTCAGGGAGCTGTTGTTATCGCCAGGATTTCACCAGATTTTCAGTGGTAGCATTGCCAAGAAATTTTGAGACTGAGTTTTTTTTAATTCATTTGTGGAATTTGGGCATCATTGGCTGGGCTAGCATTTATTGCCCACTCCTAGTTGCCCTTGAGAAGGTGGTGGTGAACTGCCTTCTTGAACCGCCACAGCCTACCTGCGATGGGTTGCCATTTGGGAGGGAATTCCAGGATTTTGACCCAATGACAGTAAAAGAGCAGCGATATATTTCCAAGTCAGGATGGTGAGTGGCTTGGAGGAGAACTTGAAGGTGGCAGTGAGGTTTGCTAAAGATTTAATATATTTGGCAAGCAGTTGATGTGGTAACATTATTTGAACTAAAATCTGTTATAAAAATGCATCAGTTGTGCATGTTGTCACCTCACAAATATTTTATGGATTGGCTGCAAATCCTATTCACACACAAACTGTTATACTTTAGAACTTTGGAAGCTTGTTTCTCAGGAAGATGCACTGGTAGAATTTGCCACTGGTATACTTGGAGGATGTATTCTTATCCTCTTGGAGTGTTTGATTCACAATTTTGTAACAATGGGAAAGTTCAATCAAATCTCAATCTAATTCTCAAATGCTTCTGTGTCTGTGACACAAAAGATGATCCTGATCCAAGGAAAAACTTCTTCACATTGTGAGCAGTTCAGGTTTGGAATACAGTACTGGAGAGTGTGGTGGTCGAGGCAGGTTCATTTGAAACATTCAAAAGGGAATTATGAAGAGGAAGTATGTGCAGAGTTATGGGGGCAAAGTAGAGGGACACTAGTTGAATTGCTCATTCAGACAGCCAATATAGACAAGACAAAAGACCTCCTTCTGAACTATAACAAAATTTGAATTTCCTTTAACAACACCAACAATTTGGATTTGTACATCACCTTCAATGCAGTCAAACATCCCAAGTTGCTTCACAAGAACATGATCAAACAAAATTTGAAAGCAAGCCACTCAAGGATAGATTAAGGCAGATGAACAAAGACTTCACCAAAGATGTAGATTTAATGGAACATCTTAAGGGAGAAGAGAGAAAGGTCAAGGACTGAAGCATTTTAAGGAAGTTCCAGTGTTTAGAGGTCTGAAATTAAAAGGTCTTGCACCAAGATTAAACAGTTAAGATTGCAGATGTGTAGTGGCCAGAATTAGATTAGTGTCTTGCATTGTAGGGTGGCAGGAAGTAAGAGAGATAGAAAGAGGCAGGTCATGGAAGATTTGAAAACAAACCTGAGAATTTTAAATTTGATGCATTACTGGTTTCAAGGCTAATGTAGGTTTACAAGCACAGAGATGCTGGGTGAGTGTGACTTGGTACAGTATGGATACTAGGTACTATTGGGTGAGCTCAAACCTTTGGAGGGTACAAAATAAAAGCTAGAAAAGTTAACCTGAGTAAGCTGCAGGCCGAAGTGTGCAGGCCCAAGGAGTTTTGCTTATAACAAACAGCTAGTGAGAAAATCCAGCATAAACAGCAGTTTTACAGCTCTCTTTTAAAGCAGATTATGTGGCATGATAAAGGAAATATATCACATGAGAGCACAATAAAGATATTTGGTAATTATTATTATTACAGTTGTTGATGTGAAAGCAAAATGTCCTGCGGCAGGAGCTTCACAGTAGCGTGCTCATGTTTGGGGCTCAAGACCATTTTATAAAATCCCAGCTACAACTCACATTGAGGAATTACCAAACTGATCACAGAGAATTGATTTTGTTACTGTCTTCCTGTCATGTTTCTGGTGGATACTGTCTCGGTTTAATGTTATTGACTGCTCCTGCTATCAGGCATCATTTTTTATTCTCTTTTGTCTGGCATCCTGAGAAATAATACCACAAAACAACAAAGAATTCATGCTCAGTAAGCAGATTACTGGACTATGGCATGGCCACATGTTTCTCCTTTTCTTGAAAAATGAACTGAGCACTATACACTTTCAGTGACACTGAGAATGAAGATGTGAAACCTCATACTGTAATCCAAGAGATGGTTTGGTTCAATAAAAACTGCAAATACACTGAGTATAATATAAGCAATGAAATTTACACATTGCTATTCTCAATACAATAATGATGCCACTCACCTAATCATTACACTGTACTTGGCTTTAATACAAAAGCTGTTTTATAAAAGAAAACACACTGTTATTGAAACTGACTATTTATTGCAATGAAATTAACCAAAATGTGTCATTCAATATCCTTGGGAGATATATTGAAGCCCTTTCCTCAAAGCTATATAAAATGGCACATGATGATTATCCTGCAGTGTGAAATATAAAGTGATTAAATTTGCAGATCAGATTCCATTAAAGTATTTCATGCCTCTCTCACGGTGTGTTTGACAATTAATTAAAAGGAGTTGTTAGTGTGTGAGTATCTCCCATTTTTCTACTTACCCTTGTGAATGTTTAAGTCTGAGGTGGAAAAAAACGCTGTTGGCTTCCTGCCCTACGTCTATTTCAGGCCATGAATTAACAACCCCTAAGGGCTTCATTCAGCCACCACTAATATTATCCAAGCAGTAGGCAGCTTGTTTCCATGCAAGGAGACTGACAGGAAAACTAGTTTGTGTTTTCCTGCAATAGGGTCCCTCCTTCAAAGGCACTTAGTGCCTAATCAAGGCATTAAATGTTGGAAAGCAAGTGTCAGCTGAGAGCCACCCTCTGCTATTGTTGCCAGTCCCCCTTACATACCATCCCCTGTGAACCCAACCCCACAAAACCCTACTTTATTTAACTGTGTTCAGGTTCACTCCCTAATAGCAGCTGTGCAGTGGGTGTCGTTCTGACTGCAGTTACTGCCTCTCCAATGGAGCTGCTGGGAAAAATGAGTAGCGAGTAGCCCTCAGTAGCTTATCACTGGCCAATTAAAGGAATTTAATAATATGGCCATCCCAGAGGAGACAATACATGTCTCTCATTAATTCTCCTGCTAGAAAATGAGACCACAAACTGCTCCATCATGTCCACACTTATTATGAGTTATTTATTCACCTTGTGCATCCTACTGTAACCAGCCTGCCTGACCTGTGAGCTAGCAGTTTTCCCTTTGAAAAGACATTGTGTGGCTGGAATTTTTGATCTTTCCTACGCTGTTTCCAGCCATAAAGAATACAGTTTAACAATTCAGTGCAGACAAAACATTAATTAGTGTTCATGAACAGCATAACAAGTAGTAAACCTCACCCTAAAATGAAACCTCTGCATTACCATCATCCGGTTGATCACAGCACAGACACACACCACATGCCATGGAATTTGGATTCCATGAGTTGGAATGTGAAGCTTGAATTGTAGCTGATGGGCACTTGATATTAAACCTTAACTGTGAGCATGATCTTTTTACCCTTCATACAATGTTTTCCAGAAGATTTTGTTTTGAGTGGCAAGAGCGTTCTCATCAGCAGTGTAAGGGATTGTGTCTGGATATCTCAATGGCCAGATAGTCATTGCAGCAGTGTCGAATAGTGTTGCACTTCAGGGCCACATGAACTCCTGCTGTACAGACTCTGTGGGAATTGCCTGAGAAATTGATGCTTCTGATAGGCATTTCCCCTGCATCTGGAACTATCTAGAAAAGCTCAAAAAGCCAGGAAAATTGGAGAGTCCCAACTCAGTTAAGCTTAATAGTCACCCAGAAAATGTTAGAGTATTAAAAATCTACAGTGACTTCTGAGTAACAATTAAACTAAAATCTGAAACACCACTGACAACCCACACACCATCAATCACATATCCCACCTCTTGTTCTTTTTCCACCATAACTTTTCCAAGAGTTCTCCTTAGCAAAATTCTAACCATTTGTAGATTATCTTCTGGAAGGTAATATAGCACTGCTGACTATTATCAACCAAGCAACTTGAACAAGCATTAACTGGGAGTTGAGATAGCACGTCATTGAATATAGCCTTAAAGGGCTTTAAATATTTTGGTCATTGTCCCACAAATGAAAAATACAAGGAGGCATAAAATAGTGTCTAGAAGTTGCAATTCACCCTTACACTGAAGGAGTGAAGCCAAAACTAAAAATTCAGTTAATTCTTTGAGAAAAGATGAAGAAGTGTACCATTGGGAGCATTTGTAATCAATATGGACTTGAAGTAAACATTATGTTCCATCAGATACTTAGCTAGAAATGAATTGTCAAAATCCTATGATGGTATTTTAAATCTTGCAACCGTACGCCATGTAGTGTATTGGAGAGCTGATGTGAAGCTTGCACTAAGTGGTTACCTAGCTTTTTCTTCTTGTTTTAGGACTTTGCCATTATGTTTGTGCATCACCTTGCAACAATAGCACTTATAACGTTTTCATATGTCAACAACATGGTACGTGTAGGAACACTGGTCATGTGCCTTCATGATGCATCTGATTTTCTTTTAGAGGTAAGGAAAGTGTTCATACCTTTTAAAGGCTCCTTAAATATTATTGGGCAACATCACACATCTCTTTAGAGAAAATATCTTTCCTCTTGCACAAGATCTGTACTAGGACTACATGAAACAAAAAGGGAGAAATCACAAAAAAATTTGCAATATTCCCACTTCTTAATTTATTTTGTTATTCTCCAACTTGTAAACCCCATTATATTGTTTACCTTCCAAAACTTCAGTTACAAGGTTGATGAACTCCACTTTTATGGGTTACCATCAGGCCCTCGCTTAATACTTATCCATAATGAGTTATCCAATATGAGAAATCAGTTAAGTTTATTTTGTCAATTTTACTGATAAGATGCTTTAAATTTAGATTTTGGAAACAATTGGAATTTGATTTTTAACATTTTCTTTCTTCCAGTCCTATATTCTCTCTTTTTGTCCTGAAGGCATCAGCTCCTTGGAAGGTCACAATTAGCCATCGCTTCAGTAGTTATGCTTTGTTCACTCACCTTAGTAATGAAACCTGACCATTTTCTGATTCTAACCTCATTCCAACATATGCATACGTGCACTAACAACAGAAAAATTGTGAGGAGGAACCATGACTGATTGTCTCATTTGTAATGTAGTTGTGTAGACAGTAGTAAACTGATTAAATCAGCTAAATCAGACAATCAAGTCCTCAACATTTCTGATATATGTGTTCTGCTATTTGCTGCGTTTAGCTATGCCATTGGGCAAGCACACTTTATCTGGTTCAGGTTGAGGTGGGAAAGCAGACGTTTTACAAAAAATAATAAACTTGCACCAAAAATGAAAGTTAGAGGATCTAAGTAATTTAAAGTTATTTATGAGCATTGTTAGAAAACTACTCTCAATAACAGCATGCGACATAAGAGCAGAAGAAAGCCATTCAGCCCATCAAGTGTGCTCTGCCATTCAGTGAATTCATGGTTGATCTGATAACCCTCAACTCCATTTTCCAGCCTTTTCTCTATAACCCTTATTTCTTTACTGATTAAAAATCTGTCTGTCTCAGCCTTGGATATATCAGTGACCCATAGCGTTAACTCTGCTTTCTCTCCACAGATGCTGCCAGACCCGCTGAGCTTTTCCAGCAATTTCTATTTTTGTTTCTAATTTCCAACATCTGCCAATTTTTCCTTCCCTAAGAATCGTATATGGTTCAAGAAGTTTGCCTCTCTCATTCTTCTATATTCCATTAAGTACAGGCCCAATCTACTCAACCTTTACTCATAAAACAGTTCCCTCCATTACCTACTACCAGCCTAGTGAACCTTGTCTGGACTGATTCCAGTGCCAGTATACCTTTCCTTGAATAAGGGGCCAAAACATTTGACAATGTTCCAGTTGTGGTCCGACAAGTGCATAGTTTTAGCAAAACCACTCTACTTCTATACACCATTTCCTTTGAAATAAAGGCCAACATTCCATTTGCCTTCCCCATCAACCACTGAATTTTGATGCTAGCACTCCCAAATCCATCTGTTCTGCAGCTTTCAGCAGTCTTTCTCCATTTAAATAATATGCAGCTCTTCTATTCTTCCTGCCAAAGTGCATACCTTCACATTTCCCCACATTATGGTCCATCTGCCATGTTTTCACCCATTCTCCTAATCCATCTATATCCCACTGCAGACTCATTGTGTCATCCTCATCATTTGCTTTTCCACATACTTTTGGGTCATCTGCAAACATGTCTATTCTACACCCACTTTCCTCGACTAGGACAGTAATATTGCAAAGAACTGTGGCTCCAGCGCTCCTCTCTAAGGTACTAGTTACAGGTTACTGTTCTAAAATTCCCCCTTATCCCAACTCTCTGTCTTCTGTGTTAGCAAATCTTGTGTTGATGCTAATATACGATGTCTAACACCACGGGCTGTTATCTTATTAATTAGCCTAATGCATGGTATCTTATCAAACATCTTCTGAAATTCCAAATATATTACATCCACTGCTTCCCTTTATCCATCCTACTTGTTAGGTCCTCAAAGAATTCTAGTAAATTTATCAGCCATGATCTCCCCTTCATGAAGCCATGCTGACTCTGTTTGATCATTTTATGTACTTCTAAGCACTATGCTATTACATCCTTTATAATACACTCATACATTTCCCCAGTAACAGATGTTAAACTAAATGTCTCATATTTGACTTTTGTTTTGTCTCCTTCCTTCTTTAAATTTACACTGGCAGTTTTCCAAAACTCTGGAAGATTACTTCAAGTGCATCCACTGTCGCTGTAATTACTTCCTTTAATATCCTAGGATGCATCCCATCAGGTCCAGGGGTCTTATCAACCTTTAGCCCTGTTTGTTTCCTTAACACTTTTTCTCTAGTGATAGTTATTGTATTTATTTCCCCTCTCCTTTAGCCCCTTGAATATTTAATAATTTTGAAATGCCATTTGTGCCTTCTGTAAGCACATAAACTTCGAGGTGCAGTGATAATCAATATTGTTAGCCTGTGCTATCATATTGTCTTCTGTGATTTTACTGGTTACTTTATTGAGAAAGATAACTATTTTAAAACAATATAACCACCTGCCTCTTCAAGTGCTTCTGCTTTGAAATTAACAGCTTTTTTTTTGCCTCACGGAGTACAGAGGCCTATGGCACAGAAAAAGTTATTTCAGTGCATCAAATCTGCGATGGTCAAAAACAACCACCTAACTATTCTCATCCCATTTCCCAGCACTTGATCTATAGCTTTATGTGCTTTGGCATCGCAAGTATACATCTCAGTACTTCTTAAATGTTGTGAAGGTTTCTGCCTTTACACTCTTACAGGCAGTGAGTTCCAGATTTCCACCACTCTCCAAGTTTAAAACAAAACCCTTTAAACCTCCTACCCCTTACCTTAAATCTATACCCCTGGGTCATTGGTCCCTCCACAAAGGGGAAAGTTTTTTCCCATCTACCCTGTCTATGCCCCTCATAATTTTATACATCTCAATCATGTACCAGCTCAGTCTCCTCTGCTCCAAGGAAGACAATCCCAGTCTATCCAATCCCTCTTCGTTACTAAAAAAGGGAACTAACAGTTCATAACTAAGAGATCAGCAAGTCTATTCTTTGGATAATTGGCCATTATAATGTTTTGTTGACTTTTAAGTGTTAATAGGTTTCAGCTTGGTAGGTGTTCCATTTATCTGAAAATGAATCACTGTTTCAATTAATTGTAGTAACAGATTGTTTATTTGATGTGATTGCTTGTTTCTTGATAGAAACTAATAAATTACAAACATTAAAGAATATTTCCATCATTGTAGCATGGAACCTAACGAATGTACATTGTTCATACTAGTTGTTTAGCTATTAAGCATACATGGAGAAGTGGTGGATTCATAAGGGTGGCATGGGCAAATGGGCTAGCATGGGATTTGAGCTGGGGTAAGGGAGATAAGGGTGAGGTTTTGGGGGAGGCTTTAATCACCGTTGGGAGCTGAGATATAGGCTAGATATAGAAATTCTACTCACAGTTGGAATTCCATTAGAGTTTGGATGGCAGGTAAGTGAGGGACAGAGTGGCAGGCAGTTGAGTTGATTGTATGGTAAGTGGGTTAGAGGGCAGTGTGTCAGGCGGATTGGAAGTGTAAGTGGATTGAGGGCTAGTGTGCCCTGTGAGTGAAGTAGGCCAGTATGCCAGGTGAGGGAGAGAGTAGGGTGCTAATTGGTGAGGGGCTAGGGTGCCAATTGGTTAAGGGAGGTTGGGTACCTGCATGGCCTGGATGGATAGATAGCTGATTCTTATAGTAGGTGGAGGGATCGGACAGTAGGAAGGGTGTCGAGGCCAGCCGAGTCAAATTGGGCACGTGGGGTGTTGGGTCAGGTGAGGGGGTCATGTTGTGATGGTGTTGAGAAGGGAGAGGGTCATGGGTCTGGCGGGCACACAGGACTGACGGATCCTTCTGCGTCAGGGCTGCATGGGTCAGGTTAGGGTTAGGTGTCCGGTAGGGCATTGTGGGAGGAGAGGGGTGATTTGGGGGAGGGGGTGCACGATGTTATGGTGTCAGGTCTGACTGGACCTGGCCTGGACAGATGTATTAGGTCAGGGTGGGCCATTGTTTGATGTTGAGGTACCGGGTTGGGGAGTTGTTGGTTTGGCATGGTTTGGTCAGGTCAGGATTGAGGTTTGGGTTTCGGGGTGCTCTCAGGTCCAGTGAGGCAGCGTCTTGTCAAGGGTGTGTTGGTTTTGGAGCTTGGGGGATAGTTGTCAGTTGTAGTGGGGTCAGGTTAGAGGGTTTGGATCAAGATCATGGGTTGTTTCAGGAGGAGGGGTTGTCAGGTCTGGGGCTGTGAAGTTCAATATGGTTTAGTTGGGAACTCTCTGTGATGAGTTAAGGGTTCAGTTTAATAGCTATGCAGGAGTTGGAGCAAGGTTTTTAATCTTCTAACCTTTCCTTGGTAACTATAAAGTTTATGAGTCTGAGTCTTCTGAAGTTTCCTTCTCTAAGGGATTTTTTCCAGAGGATTTTAGACACAGGGTGATTGCCTGAAGGAAATTTCAATTTCTCAGGCAGTTTCAAGGGATTAAACTGCTGCAACTATCAGGCCATTAGAAATTCAAGGCTATTGTTTGGAGGACCTCGATGTTCCTTCTAACTGGTCTCTCATTGAATAGATACACCAGTAAACCCAACCCTGAAATGAAAAGACAAAATTAACATAAATAACGTAGGGTGGGTGTGCAGTTAACAAACCACAAAATTGTAAAAACCAAAAGAACTGTGGATGCTATAAATCAAGAACAAAACAGAAGTTACTGGAAAAGCTCAGCAGATCTGGAAACTCAGAGAAGGGTCACCGGACCTGAAATGTTAACTCAGATTTTTCTTCACAGGTGCTGCCAGAGCTGCTGAGCTTTTCCAACAACTTCTGTGTTTGTTCACAAATTTATAAAGCTTGGCTTTTCTTGAATGCAAAAGAAAGTTCATCGCATGAACTCATGATAAGTTGTCCTACTAAAACCTCAAAAGCAACAAAGTTGATAGTAATTATTTATCAGTTTATCCACATTTGGCAGATTACCTTTATCAACTAGATTTCTTTTTATGTTTGACTTAAATAGGTTTCATCGAAGAGACTCTTTGTCTATAGATTTTCGAAGACGATTGTCAGTTGCTTAGCTTATGCGATAAATGGTATTAACTGTAGATTAATCAGTCTGTCAGTTCTCAAGCACATAATTGACTTATTGCTCCTTTCAAAGTGTTTATGTATCAGCTCACTTCTTGATTTTTCTGCTTATTCCATTCATACTATTTCATTTTACTGAATTTAACTAACTAAACACAAATCAATATATCAGTGACTTTGTATATATGGCCAAGAGTCATAGATTTTAATTAAGCAAGAAAATATTTAAAGTTTTTGAGTCCATCACACGTAATGATCCTGGTACAGTGATATTATTTTTGACTAGACACATAATAATGATTTGCTGAGTCACTTTTGATCTAGTTCAGAGCTCTTCTGGATAGTAGCCTATTAAATACATGCCAATATTAGTCAGACGTTGAAAATCCACAGAATGTTTTTATAATTCACAGGCAGCTAAAATGGCAAACTACGCCAAGTGTCAAAGATTATGTGACCTCCTGTTCGTAATGTTCGCCTTGCTCTTCATTAGTACGAGGCTTGGCCTTTATCCAATATGGTGAGTAAGTTTTCAGTCAGATAATTCAATTTGTTTAACAGCAACTTTCCAGTTCTCACTTTTCCAAGCACACTGAAAATGCAATTACAACAGAAAAGGAGAGCATTTTGTTAAATAATCTTATTCAACAGAAACCCAGAGGCTGAAGTGGAATAAATTTAAAACAATCTCACTCATTCCTAACCTATTAAGGATTCTTAAAATTATGATTTTTTTTGTTGTTTTTGCAAACTGAAGTTTCCAGTTGTAGCTATTTCTCTAAATGACTGCCATCATTTTCTTTAAATATTATATTTCTGAACGTTCCTCCCTTTTACTCAGGTAATCCCAGCTCAAGATGAACAAATATGCAACAAAGATGAGTCTGAATCAAATATTAATTGAGATTAGTGTTAGAGTTAAGATCTCACACATGAGAAGGCAACTTTCAAATCACATGGTTGCCTTCCTGGATTTTCCAAATGCTTCTACAGTAATCCCTGTTTAATAAATTCAGAATTAAATGGAAAGTGATTCAATATTCATGTTCCTGGCAGAAACACAGGTCATCAAAGATACTCTGATTTCCCATAAACATTCTCTGCTTTCTGTTACTTATGAGTAAACAAAATTTTTGACATTTTCTTGCTTGTATGCATGCAAGCAATATTTCAATTCAGACTTCTTTTTCTCTGTCCCTCCTTCATAACACCATCTCCTTAACTTTATCTTCTCAACCTGATAATACCCTTTTCTCTGTGAAGCAATTTAGAATTCTTGTGTGATGGAAAGCAGATTGTTTTCCCTTCCAATTTGTTATGTTTCTTTGTTCTTGAAATTTTCTTTTCATGCTTTCTTTTGCTCTCCCCATTACTGATTTTAGAATGACAGTAGTTTGTAGTGAGAAGCAAATATTTGTCCTAAATGATGTACATGTTATGAGAGCTACAAAGTGTACAGAATCTAAATTAATAATGTGTTCATTATTAAAATTTACCTTTTACATAATTTATGAGTATAAAGCCACTTTATTCAACAGGTAAGAGTGCCTGAGGACTGTTGATAAAAACAATGCTCTCTTTATTTGTGAGTCACCTCCATGGCATTTGACTTCATGCTAGTAAATGAATTACTAATTTGCCTTGAAATCTCTCATATCTTAAACACTGTAGGTTCTTTCTTTATATCATGACATCTTTAAACAGCATTTACAAAAGATGTATAAAGGTTGACTTTAGTTCTTCAGCAACTACATTTGTCATCCCAGTTACACAGTTTCAGCAGCTGCCATCATCGTTGTCAAGGATCTGAAGTGGTCAGCCAAAGTATTGGCCAATGATTTTGATGGTTTCAAGTTTGTAGAATGAAGGACAAATACCAAAAATAACAGCAAATCATTGTCATAAAGTTTAAAACATCAATTCAATATTTGGCTTCAGTGATGTATTTGACACTTCTGGAATTATTCAATTAAGTTTCTGCTGTGCACTTACTGCCATCCATTTATTTACACTTTATACTGATTTTTCACAAGAATTTGAAAAGGTATAGCATTTTATCCAGCTTTTACCGTTAGCTTGGTGTAGGTACTAGTAAAGCTTTAGAGGTAAATAATTTCTATTAAAACCTAGCACTCGCAATGAATGGAATTTAAATTCCAAAATTGTGACAAATGTTATTTTAAATCTGGAACGTCAAAATTGGATTGATAGAATCATAGAATCAAAGATTTTTACAGTAGAAAAGGAGGCCATTCAACCTGTACAAACTCCCGAAAGAACTACACAGCTCATCCCATTCTCCAGCCCTATCTTCATAGTCCCCTGAACATAGCCATAAGTAGTGCACTGAAACTATTGTTGTAAATTCATTGTAAATGTGTATCCTTAAAGCTCTGTGATCAAGGTTATTTACTTTCGTGTCCTTGTGGATTTTTCTGTGAAAAATTTATGGAGCTCCATGGATCCACCTAGTGTTGAAACAAGCTTCAAGCATAAAACAATGTGGAACAAAAGTGCTGGCAGCTCAAAAAATGGTTTGTTTAGTACCAGTATAGACAGTGATGGAAAAATCAATGCTACAAATCAGACTTTGTGCAATCAAATCTCAGTTTAAGTCTGTAACTCTTTATATAGCTATCAATAATTACATGATTACAGAGCATGCGTCGTTGAAAAGATTTAGAGATCATTAATATCTATTTGTAGATAATTGTCTTCCATTTTAAATATGTGAGCATTTTAAAAAGAGAAGTGTATGGAACACTTGTATTGTGAAGGTCAAGTAAGATCCTGGAGGATAATGATATTCATGTAGTTCACAGTGTTTGTATTAAAAATCTTTCTAAAATCCTGTATGCAATCAAAAGGAACTGCATTAATTGCCTTGTAATGTTTCTGGTGTAATATCCTTCATGATTCTTGAAATACACATAGCTAAATTTTAGAATGAAAATGAAGGCTGAGAGCTTTTCAAATAAAGGACAGTCACAATGAACAGTCATAATTTCACTTCCTCCAGAAGATGAGATCAAGTTTGACACACAAACTCCAATTTTAACTTGTGCTTCTAGGACTGGCAGGGTGTGAAGTGGTTCATAAAGAACAGAGAACATAAAACAGTACAGCACAGGAATAGACCCTTCAGCCGACGATGATACCATTCTAAACTAATCCTGCCTGTCTGCTCTTTTCCTTGCCTGATCAAGTGTCTGCCTAAATGCCTCTTAAATGTTGCTATCATATCTGCTTCCACCACCTCGCAGAAAGACATACCAGACATTTCACCCTCTATGTAAAAAATTTGCCTCGCACATTTCCTATAAACCTTCACCCTCTCACCCTAAACCTATGTCCCCTGGTATTTGACCCTGTGAAAAAGACTCCAACTATCCAATCTATCCATGCCACTGATAACATTATATGCTTCTATCAGGTCATGCCTAAGCCTATGACACTCTAGCAAAAACAATGGATGGCATGGTGGCTCAGTGGTTAGCACTGCTGCTTCATAGCACCAAGGACCCAGGTTCAATTCCACCCTGGGGTGACTATCTGTGTGGAGTTTGTACATTCTCCCTGTGTCTGCATGGGTTTCCTCTGGGTGCTCTGGTTTTCTCCTACAGTCCAAAGATGTGCAGGTTAGGTGGATTGGCCATGCTAAATTGCCCTTGGTGTTCAGGGATGTGCAGGTTAGGTGGATTGGCCATGCTAAATTGCCCTTGGTGTTCAGGGATGTGCAGAATAGGTGGGTTGTGGGGGGATGCTCTGAGGGTCAGTGTGGACTTGTTGGGCTGAAGGGCATGTGTCTATACTTTAGGGATTGTATGATCCAAACTCTCCTTATAGCTAATACATTTCAATCCTGGTAAACCTCTTTTGCCCCCTCTCCAATGCCTCCTTCCAATCCTTCCAAAATTTGCAACCAGAACTGTACACAAATGTGGCCTATTAAAGTTTTATACAGTTGCAGCATGACTTAGCAACTTTCATACTCAATGTCCCTGACTGATGAAGGCAAGCATGTTGTACATCTTTACCACGTTATCCACTTGTGTTGCTACTTTCAGCGAGCTATGGACTTGTACTCAAAGACCCCTCTGTATATCAATGCTCCCAAGGGTCCTGCCATTTACTATCTACTTTCCTTTTGCATTTGACCTCAAAAAATGCATTACCTCACACTTGTCCAGATTAAATTCCATCTGCCATTTCTCTCCCAACTTTCCAACTGATCTATATCCTGCTGTATACTCTGATAACCTCCCTCATTATCCACAACTCCACCAATTTTCCTGTCATCTGCAAACTTATTACTCATTAGCGTTTGACAGCACTGTCTCCCACATGAAACTTCTGGGAGTGAGAATAGGGCTTGTGGACAGAAGCAGAAAAGCAGATAGGAGCCAGATACCTTTGGATAAAAGGCAAGATTTGCATTCTTATCAGGTTTTGCAATGTGCATTACATTTAATGAAATGCTTTTGAAGGGTAGTCACTGATCAACATTGCAGCCAATCTGATGAACTGGTAACACACAGAGTGGTAGAAGCATAAAGTACACAGAGCTTGAAAAGGAAGGAAAGCCCCCTCCACTAGCATAGTCCCTTCGAGATTCACCTGGTGGCCTCTCTGCATAGAGAAGACACCAGCTCCGGCTTTTTAAAAGTTGTATTCCTCTTAATTGACTGCTTTTTAGCCTCAGTTGGCCCAAGGGCAAGCTGTCCAATGCCTCCCGTCAAACAGGTAAATACAAGCAGCAGTGCATAGACAACAGGTAAGGTGCTGCTGTGTGCGTTCATTTCTCACTGCTTCCTCAGCTACAAACTGCTCCTGAGAGTGCTGTAAAATTCCATAAAACTGATGTTGAGGTTGGAAAGGAGCAAGTGCTGTAAGGTGATGCCAATGCTAGGAGCAGAGACATGACTAAAGTATCAGGAGATCATGAAAATCTACCAAGAAAAGCTGTGCACCAGAGGCAGCTGAGCTTTCCTTAGCACTGTTTATGCAAATCCATAAAATTAACCTGAGTACATGTCAAAATCTATTCCTGTTATGTACTTTCTCAGCATAAAACAGAGGTAATTTGGGTTTCTTGGAAAAGGTACAACTTTAGAAGACAATCATCTGCGACATTAAATATGAAGAATCAAGATTAATCATAATTCCTACAGCAAATAGTGATAGAGGATGGAGGACAACTGGCAACTAGCCAAAGGTCACTAGGGCCAAGGGCAGATAGCTATTTAATAGTCAAACAAGGCAATGAGCTGGAAAATATGGAAAATTATAATGTAATCTAACAAGAAGAGTCTCTTGTCTTAAATATGTTATCATTTATTACATGCTAGTAGTCAGATACAAGCTGCATTAGTAAGGTAAACATTGTTATTAAGACTATTGGTAGACCTAGAATTCTGCGATGTTCTGCTTTTCATACCATATGACATATTTCGTACCATATATATCATCAGATCGGATGGTGCTTAATACAGTCTCCAGTATTAATCCTTTCAGAACCAT